ATTTAGTTGATCAGAAAAAACTTCGTTCCAGTTTCGTCCATAATCCAGATATTATGTGCAGAGAATTCGTACCTAATCGTGATTTCAGCCAACACCATAAAAACTCATCAACTTTTGGCTCATTGGTGTTGACTGAAATCAACTTTTGGCAAGGCAGGAGTCAATAACTCGATAAGGGGTCATAAATACGCATAACTAGAAACTAAACGTGCTGCCTTGAGGCGGCAAATAAAAAAAATCATGCAATATGAATTGTAATTTGTAATTCAAAAAGCTAGTCATAGTTTTGAAAAGGTCATTGAGACAAATTGTTTTATGCGTATTTATGACCCTTTATCGAGTTATTGACTCCTGCCTTGCCAAAAGTTGATTTCAGTCAACACCAATGAGCCAAAAGTTGATGAGTTTTTATGGTGTTGGCTGAAATCACGATTATGTACGAATTCTCTGCACATAATATCTGGATTATGGATGAATTTGGAACGAAGTTTTTTTCTGATCAATTAAATATATTTTTTCTAGTCAAGGATACATTTTTTCATGTCAAGGACGAATTTTTTATCGCAAGGATATATTTTTCAAGTCAAGGATATTTATTTTTATGGTAATGAAATATTTTTCTTCACGTCAGTGATAGATTTTTTAAGCCAAGAGTATATTTTTTCAAGTTAAGGATATGATTTTTTGAGTTGTTAATAAATGAATGAATGTCATATTTTTTATTAAATTTTTATTATTTTAACTGTTAAGTGTTGTTTTATCATTTTTAAACGAAAAATGTGCAATTGTGGTAAGGAGACCAAGGGTGGGCGCCTTGCCCCAAGCCCATGGGCCCATTGCCCCAGGGGTGGGGCAATGGGCCCATTTTGACACTTTTTACAAAATAGTGTTTCATTAAAAATGAATAACTCTATAGGCGTCTAATTCACTTCATACATTCCTCATTAGTTGTACCTTTAAACAAAACAAAGAACCACCTCGTATCAATTAAAACTTCATCAAAAATTTAGTTTCAATAAAGGGGGGGCGCGCTGCCCCATGTTGCCCTAACTGTTCAATATTCACATTTATACCTGCGATCATCTCAAACACATTTAAACCAAGTTTAAACAAAATTTTACTTACATGTATAAAGTTTAGGTAATTAAAGGTTATAATTTGTATATTCAACTAAAATTACCGGAATCAACTATTCCGTTCCATTTATTTCTTTTGTATGTAATTCACATTTTGGTTTGCTAACTTAAAATATAACCAACACTACCGTACATGTTAACATTTTCTTGCCTTTCGATGGCGGTGATGTCGAGAACATTCCAACTGAAATAAAATAACTTGTTCGTCATTTAAATTATAATTATATTTCTCTAATCTCCAACAACACTAACGCATTAATGTGAACATAGGAAGAACAAACTAACGTCGCAAGCACAGCTCCCTCCTCAGAGAGCGCCAGTATATGACTAAGAGACTACATATCTAACATATATCGCACTTACTGCAGTGTCACGCGTAAAATACAATTCTTCGCTGCGTGTGAGGCCAGATTAGGAAGTGAACGATATTCATCACGACTTAAATGGTAGTTAGTCCGCAGGTCAAAAAAATTAGACGTCCTCCAGTAATCACAATAGTTACTCATAAATGGAAATCATAGGAGGGTCTAAAGTGGCCGATGGAAAGCCGCCCAAAAACAGCCTGGGGTGCGTGATGAGTTCGGGAACAATCTGATTATATTGCCGTCTAAAGAACAAGCTTCAAGTTTTTAATTTGTGGAGTTTGAATCTCTTCGGTCAAATGGTTTTCAACGGGCGTGACTTGCATCCATTTATTTTGCATTTTCAATACAAGCCAATAACTCCATACGATTGAAGTTCTCGACAATTTCTTTGGAACAATTTTATTCCTTTGGAAAAAGGGATCATGTTAAGAATAAGCGCTCCAGACATTACTGACGTGTGTATTCTTAACAAGGTAAATTGAATGAATAATACAAAGAAATTATGTCTATTTAAACCTTTTTTTTAAATCACAATTCAGTGTAAAAAAATATATTGCGTTTTAATAACAAGGATATACAAGGCTGCGTTTTATTTACAAGGTCATACTGGAGTGCTTTTTCTCAACAAGATCCGAACATAGCTACAGAGCCTAGTTCTTTATAGGCCTGATAATATTCAACGTTCGAAAGGCATCATTCTACAAAAAGTTACCAAGTTCAACGTCTGATAGTTCCATGGAATTAATTCAAACTTTACCCTCCATTGATGTGGGTATGTTGACATGTTTCAACGTTCGTCAAATCAGCACCACTATAGCATGTGTACTTAGATTAAGGTTAACTTCTACATGTGACGCTACGACCAACTAAGTTCTACGTACGAAGGTAGAACTTTAATGCGCTACGACCAACAAAGTTCTACGTACAAACGTGGAACTTTAAGGCGCTACGACCAACGAAGTTCTACGTAGAAACGTAGAACTTTAAGGCGCTACGACCAACAAAGTTTTACGTACAAACGTAGAACTTTATGGCACTACGACCAACAAAGTTCTAAGTACAAACGTAGAACTTTAAGGCGCTAAGACCAACAAAGTTCTACGTACAGACGGAGAATTTCAAGGCGCTACGACCAACAAAGTTTTACAAAGTTCTACGACCAAACAAAGTTCTATTATTATTATATTATTATTATACTAAAATATTCATTGATACTTAAGCGAATCGTTTTAGTTATCTGAATAATTACCTTACTAAACAATAGAAGTTTCTGTAGAGAATTCGTTCAGTTCAAACAGTTTTCTCTCTAAACAACCCGTCACTCAGTCTCGCCTGACTCCCGAATGATCACCTCCTCCATATCAATTACGGTCGCCCATTAACGTCTCAGTCTCGCCTGACTCCCGAATGATCACCTCCTCCATCAATTACGGTCACCCATTAACGTCTCAGTCTCGCCTGACACCCGAATGATCACATCCTCCATCAATTACGGCTCCCATCAACGTCTCAGTCTCGCCTGACTCCCGAATGATCACCTCCTCCATCAATTACGGCTCCCATTAACGTCTCAGTCTCGCCTGACTCCCGAATCCAGGCGCCCGTGCTCTAAAATTTCTCCCATCGCGTTCACGTCAGTTTTGTTGCGGGGCAGCTCGCAGGGTCTCAAGGCGACCTGTAATGGACCTCCGGAGGCCAGCGGTGATGAGTATAAGCAATACACACGTATTGTTCATTTAAAAAACTTTGATTGGAGGCCTGTGAATGAGTTTTATTGATAAGTTAATAATATTTGGCCCAAAAACGTGCCATAATTCGGCCAGTAGACCTGCTGGTACCCAATCAAATTTGTTTAAATGAACAAATTTAGCTATTCTAATTATTGTTTATTTGTGAAATTGAAGCATATTCAATGCATATATTGAGACAATATATAATGAGGACGAGTTCAAGTTCATGTCCTTTGTACACCAGCTTATCTTAGACATTTCTGCTTGCGATTCTTGCTCACTTTGCAAAAGGATTCGTTATTTACATATTAAAGCAAACTATTTCTTTCTGGAAATTCTCATTTTACTTGGAAAAATCAAGTATAGAAGACCAAGCAAAATTGAAGACCTAAATTAATATAGATAGAACATAAATAAATACATATAATTATTAGCCCCTACCAACCGAAAACATTGTTGGGTTGATACTTACAATTGCGACAGCGGACTTCAAGAATCAACGGACCCGATCACATACAATATGTTAACTAAAATTTTATAAGAATGTTCATCAGGCATTTCAGTTTAATTAATTTTTATTGTGGTGTACTATTGAGCCGGAATGGATATGAAAATATAATGATACGCACGTAATTATTATATTCACTTTGGTCCATTGAATTTTTATACATTAATTGTGTACGGTGTAATACAAGCAAATTTAGCAATATTATCAGGAAGAAGAAGAATCATAAGCTCGGTAATTTCAAACTTGGGAAAATATGCAATAAACTAGTGGAAGTTGATGAAAAATAACACAAATAACAATTCAACTAACTTGTTGACTGATGAATCGTTCGTGTGTTTCCATCTGCACGCACCCCCAGATGACCTCGCTTGACCTCCAATGCTAACTACACTTTTTACCATTCCCTCGCACCTTCAACCATTCCCTCTCACCATCAACCATTCCCTAGACCTAAAATTTTCAAAACCTTCATGTGTCACCTCAGTACTTCAACGATTCCTCATCAGCAATTCAACCCAATGTCAACTATTTAACGCATATATTTTTTAACAACCACTAGTTCAACACACTACCACAACCACTAGTTGAGCACACTACCACAACTACTAGTTGAACAAACTACCACAACCACTAGTTTAACATACATTCAAAATTTCAAAAAATAGTAAACATTGGTTAATGCGGTGACCTGCAAGCTCCTGAACCTGTCATCTGACCTGTTATTAAACCTGCTCTCACGAGTCAACTGGCCAACCTGCTTACGAATTTTCTTGCTGGCCTGCGGCTCAGGGAGGTCTATCCTGAGGTCAATCCTAACACGGTCAATCTGTCTTTTATCGTCTTCCATTTTCTGTCACGCATTTCGCTCAGAATTACCTTATTGTTTGGACGATTTATTTTAGACTTTTTCTTACATCAGTAACGAATTTTCTTAGACCTAAATTCTTTTCTTTCAACTTTTTCATTTTTTTTACTGTTGGCAATAAAGTTTCAGAGGTTGACATAAGTGAAATCACAAGAATGAACTTCACACACGAATTCATAGGTCATATGACGTATCTTTAATTGTGAAATAGATTTCTGCGTGTACTTGATAAGTATTGTATTATTGTTAAATACGAAATACGTTTATGAGTTAATGTAAGCACTAGCGTGAAGAAGCAGTCGTAAAGGCACCGGCAGTTTGGGCGCTTGGCAATCGCGACGGCGCGTCGGCATCACGAGACGTCGGGTCTGAAATTTTCCTTCAGTTGACGCCGCGATGTCGTCGGGGGAGGAGCGCGTGGCTGCGCTCCTTTCTGTCATCACCGACAGCGGCGTCGAAGTTGAAAAACTTAGCAAGCTAAAGGGATATAGGAAATTAATGAGACTTAATCACACGCACAAAACTGCGACTAGTAGTCTCAATAAGGACAAGTGCGGTGTCAACGATATTATTGAAAATAATAAAAAAAGAAACGTTAATTCCAAACATGATAACAAATCTCAAAAGTGCAAACAGGATGCCGGTGCTAATTTAACAGATAGTGAAAGTGAGACTGAAGGAACTAATGCAAGATATTGTGAGTTGTCATGTGGTGCACATGACACATCGTGCAGATCTCGTCCTGTACTCACATGGATGACAGGATGTTGCGTGGCTCTCATCTTCTTGTTCATCCACCAACACGAGCTGCTCACCCATCACGGCTTCTCGAGGTTCTGGCTCAGCTGGGAGAACGTCGCCCTGCACGCTGAGGTGGTGAGTGCAGTAATGCAGTCATGCTACTCATTGCTTCTATTACTTTACTTCTGTTACTTCTGTTACTTCTGTTGCTTCTATTACTTCTGTCTTCTGTTACTTCTGTTACTTCTGTTGCTTCTGTTACTTCTGTTGCTTCTGTTACTTCTATTACTTCTATTACTTCTGTTACTTCTATTACTTCTCGAGGTTCTGGCTCACCTGGGAGAACGTGGCGTTGCACGCTGAGGTGGTGAGTGCTGGGTAATGCAGTCATGTTACTTATAATACTATTACTACTTCTATTACTTCTATTACTTTCATTACTTCTGTTACTTTTATTACTTCTATTTCTGAATTAGTGTCATGGAAAATGTTTGTTTTAAGAAGGAATAAATCTCACGTCCTTTTTTAAATCAATTAAATCGGCAGAAGAAAATGACTTTTCAAAATGTTTATGAGCCAAAACAAAATGTTATAATTACACTATTCTTTTTCCTGTGCATGAATGGTGAATGTTTAAAGGAAGCTGAAAAATGGCCGATGTGTGTATTTAAAGTAAAAGAATGAATATAGATTTATTCTATATTAAATGAACATAACTTTCAGTAAATTATGGAAGCGACGATAAAATTGCCGTTTAGATAATCAATAATATTAATTTAAATAGCTTGGTGGGAATCTTCGTGGTGGATTATCTTACTAAAGATTAAAACTCTTATTGATGTTATAAGCAATTCCTCACAAATTGTATAAATCCATACATTAAAAATTTGTTTAGAAAAAATACCACACGCTATCTTATCTTCACCAGAAGCAATATTTCTTTTTGCGTCGGAACCTAACCGCTTAAGCAACACATCCGTCTTCTTCTCTGTTGCTTTGTAAGGCTAGATATGAGCTGCCTGCCTGCAACACGCGCGTATAATTCCAAGGTTTTTACTCGGAATTTTCTTGCAAACTGATGATGAAACAAAAAAAAAAATGGCTCATGCAGCATGTCGCAATGCAGCAAACGTGGACGCAGTGAATGGTTTTTATTCAGAAAGAGGTTGGGGTTGATGCCTGAACAGAAACTTTTGAAATTTGAAACAGAATTTGCAATGAAAAAGCAAGATATTTTGATGGACCCTGGGAGAAAGAGACCTTTTTATTTACCCTGAGAGAGAGAGAGAGAGAGAGAGACAATTTACAATTACCCGGCGTGTGGCAGATTTTTTATTTGCCATGAAATTAAGAGATCTTTTTATTAACCCTAGACGTATATTTTTCCTCATCTGACTGTGCAACATCTTTATCGTCTACTCAGTTGGGAAACCTACATTTTCCATTTCAGACAAATTTTGTTTATATGCAGTAAAGAAGAATTACTCGTGCTATCTTCCCTAATCAGAAAACTACAATAATTGCAAGATAATTTAAAAGACCACTAAGTTGAGGCAAATTTAATCTGGTTGTAAAGTGAACTGCAAGGAAATTAATGGCTGTTTCTTTAGCTAGGCTAAGTTTCAGAGTTTCCGATAGTTTTTCTTTTTGTCCTGACTCTGCAGTAACGCAGATTTTAGGCTCCCACTAAGTCACACTTTAGAAAAACCTGAGCTGACAGTCAATGAAATGAAGAAGTCTTCTGCACTCCGAAGTTCTAATCCTGTTTCATACTATGAATAATGGTAGTCAATTAGCCCGTAATTTCTCATTTCTATTCCACAATCACCTCGGGCATTTTCCCATTAGCAGGACGTATATAATCAGCCAGTCACTGATTAATCTGTCCATTCCCGGGAGCAACAATTTATGCAGTAATAAGCGCGACAAATTCGAGCCGCTCGCGAATTTTGACCCAACATCTCAAATCCGACGCGAGCGACCCTAGGGGGGGGGACTGAAATATTCAGGCGCCGCGGCCGACACGCTCTCACGGACACATTTTTGCAGCGAATATTTTCCATGCATCCGCGAATCTCGTCTCGTCCTCACTATCGCTCCTAAATATTCAGTACAAGCGGATGAGCAAAAAAAACTTGTGCAGTTAAATTTGACTCATATGGAAAATTCTCAAAAGTTATGCTGCAGAACGAAATGCAATAATACTTACACAGATTAACAATGAAACAATAATGTTAACCTGAAAATCTTCATGAAATTGTAGTGAATGACTAGATCAATATCACCACGATAAAATCATTATGAGCAGAATTATATCTTAATTTTATATGTTATCTTCTTCACACTAATATCATCTCGAAAGAACCACGAAATTTCATAATCAATTTAAACAGTTCTTATTTATATATATCATGATCGTAAATTCACGGCATCTTGGATAATAAACTTGTATTCCCTGGTATCTTCGAATAATTATTTATCCAATCAAAAAATTACGAAATAAACTGCAATTTCATTTATCTCACAAAATCAATTGACCTGAGGCAACATTTTTAGCCTTTCCGGCTCGAAAGAACAACAAACTTTCCGAGTTCACTAAATAATGCCAGCGTTTGACTCGAGGCGGGTAATTGAAATGTCCGCAAGCAATCATTAATTAAGTCGTCCAGAAAAAAATTCCGGAAAATTTTTAATTTCTTGTGACTGCCAAAGAAAAGAAACTAATGAATATAGATAGAGAACTAACATTGGGAACTGGACAGCTGGAAGACTGAATGATAAATATTTCATACGGTGGTCTCAGGGTGAACTATGATGCTAATTTCTTTGTCAATTATTATCTTTCAAGCTCAAAGTTGATGGAACAACTAAGTCACACGGATTTTAAGCAACTTGCTCCTGAAGCGCCCAATTCGAGCGCAAGATGTCGTTAATATATTTTAAGTAAAAAATAAAGAAAATAACTTGCTCTGAAAACACATTATTATTATTTCTTGAAGAATTAGTTTACGTTGGCAATCAGACCATTTTAAAGAGCAATAGACAAGTTATAATTGTTAAGAAGACAATTATCATTAGAAATTAGTTAATCCTAGTAGCAATAACGATTTTGGTCCATTAACCGAAAATTATTCCTGCTGGCAATTGTCAAAATAAATTATTGTGTCGAAACTTTAATTTTAGTCAACATTTAAAAAATGTATCCATATAAGCTCCTAATTTTCCATTATAAGTATTTTAATCAATAAAGTTTTGTGTGGAACCATTTGTATTTATTCCGAACAACAAAACCAAAATTCCCTGAAAAATCAAAAACCTGCGCGCAGTAAATAGAGTTTGTTTATATGTAAAGAAATACGCCTTATATATTGGGAGGTCAGGTCGTGTTAAACGCCTCACAGCATTTACGAGCCATGCCCACGGCCTACAACACCCGGTGCCAAATCAGCTTTTTGTTTAGGAGCCGTGTTATCAAAAACAGTTGAGACTAAGAAAAGTTAATATAAAAAGTTAAGAGTTTTTAACTCCGTCAGCCAATCACTGCAAGCGTTTCAAGCTAAACCCACCGATCACAAGCTAGAAATCGGCCGCTACGTGTACTTGGGCGAGGTTGTATGTCCAGCCACCGTACAGTAAAGTTTTAAAGTTAATGTTTTCCTATATATGTGATTTTATTTAATATTGTTCAAGTCGCATCTTCTATATACATTATTTTTCAAAATTAAGCCCATGCGTGTTTTATCAATGAGCAGGAGCTCCAACAATTATCTTCGTTACTTAAATTTTTTCAATTATTTATCTTTATTCAGCATAGGTGTTTAAATTGATGCTATATTTATCAACCTGAGTACAAAATTTTATAATCAATCGGACAAGTTATTCTAAATCGAATTGAATGTTCCTTTGAATATTATACTATACAGGGATTCAACCGATGAGTTCCAAGTCGTATCTCAGCTTTCAGTTGCACGGACACCACCAGCATCATGTCCCTTTCTTCTCGCAGAATAAATTCATGCTCTATAAACGTTATTTATGTTGTTGGAAAGTACTTTGTATAAAAAGCTTTTAAACATAATACATATTCATGTCATTCGTATTGTTATCATGTCAGTTTTGAGATGAACTTGGATCTTTAATCCCGCTGAATATACGCGCTTCCGACGCTAACATGGCGAAAAGACCAGGCAGATCACACACGGGAGTCACGTTCGTGAGGCAGATCACACACGGGAGTCACGTTCGTGAGGCAGATCACACACGGGAGTCACGTTCGTGATAGATGACGTCACCGTTTTGCAAACTACGAGAATTTGGGAATAAAAAAACTGTACTCGCGCTGGATGATGAATGGGAACAGCCTCTGAAAGTGGGGGAAAAAGTGCAATCATTCACGCCTGAGCCCGTTTTGTGGATTCTGGATAAATACGATTTTAATGCAATTTTTTATAAAACATTGGTGTTATTGATATATTACAGATATATTGTTATCAATATATCTGGATCTGTGGGTAAATGTGATAAATTTTAGCAGATGATTCTCAGGCGTATTCCTGGCACTCGTAATATTTGTAAAATTTACAAATTTCGCCACTATCAAAATCGTGACCAATTTATAATTATCAAATTATTTCCTAGGTTGCTCAGACTGCAAAAATATGAGACAATAAAAAATTTAGAATTATTCAATCCATGTAATGTATCATTAGACTTTATATATCAAACTACCCATTTTCCTAAGTGATGCACAATAGAGGTCTTCATTCGGTTGTCTCGCAACGAATGTAAAAACGAAATTCAGATCAATTTCGGTATCGGGCATCGGTTTTCGATAGCAAATTGTTCTGCCGCCGCCTGAGACCAACGACCATGTTTGCACGTCCAAAATTTTTATTAGTGTCATTGGGGTGAAATGGGAATTCTAACTAGCCTGTTCAAAAATATTTCTATATTGATCGTTTGCAAAAAAAATAAAATTTCGAACGTTAAAAGACATTGAAAATGCAAGGCAGACTTAATCAACTAAATCAAGGATTCATCTGGACGTGTAGCTTATTTATTAAATGAAACATTGAAAGGAATCGGTCAAACTTTAATTCTATGGGGTAAGCAATGAACTAAACGCTTCAATCTGT